TATAAATATTTGAATATAAATTCACAAATAATTCAGAAATGGAAAAAATACGTAAAAAAATGTATCTTTTAAAATCTATTCCGACTTTATTGATTTATTTATCTATATTTGTATGCACATGATAACTCGTTAATAAACTTTTGTGATAAATTCATATGTTCAACAATCTTGTAAACGATAAATGATACGTAAATAAATATCTAGATTTCAAAAAAAAGTTTTGAAACAACACCATAAAGTATTTTGCATATTTAAAATATTCTCCATTGCCCCCCCCCTCTCTCCTCTCCCCCACTCCCTCTTCACCACCACCTTTCTACGGTTACCCTCCATGAACCAGGTCTAAATTAGCTCCTTTCAAGATTACAAATTAAAGAGCTCTAATGAATATTTGAATGCTTCGAGTGCACTTAAAGGGATGCGTAGTTTCAAGTGACCCTCCATTGTTGGATGGCAATGTCCGATTCACAACGGTACCCTTAAAAGCTTTGACTGATAAAGTATGAATTAGATATAAACGTTTATCACTTAGAAAACTGATTATTTACAAAATTAAGCGCATTTATACTGCAGGAAAACATATAGTAATTATTAGAATAATACACTTTGCAATTTGCATGAAGGGGCACTTGAAATTACAGTTGCCGTCCATTTTAGGCTTGCGGGACTCGGGGGGAGAGGGGAGGAGGGAAATATTGTTTTAGTATAACAACATATTTCTTGGAAGTATATAAACCAATTAAGAAAACACATGAATTACAATTATCTATGTAAAAACCAAACAGAAATGGAAAAAAGAGACAAAATTTTAATAATTAATTTAATAATAAACAATTTTATTCTAGCAGTGACAGTCGCTTTTTATCTTTAGGTTTTTGAAACGATTGTATTCTTTACAGAAAATTCCATTCTTTCGTTGTTTGAACGACCGTTCCCAGTTAACGACACGTCCCCAGCCCTATTCTCTGTTAACGACACGCCCCCAGCCCTATTCTCTGTTAACGACACGCCCCCAGCCCTATTCTCAGCTCTACAGGGTGTCCCACATCATATTGGATCGAGTTATAGCTCTAAATTGCGATTTCCAACACTAATCAAGAAAATTTTAAAAGAATGAATCATTTAAAAAAGTTGTTTATTGCTAATATAAAGATTTCCAACACTAATCAAGAAAATTTAAAGAGAATGAATCATNTTTATTGCTAATATAAAGATTTCTAACACTAATCAAGAAAATTTAAAAAGAATGAATCATTTTAAAAAGTTGTTTATTGCTAATATAAAGATTTGCATGCAGAAAATAATTTAAATACCTTCCTGGCCTTGAGAAAACAGATTTTGCGAAGACCTTTTGCACATTTATTTTCACAAAATACTTTGATATGACATTGCACATTTCAAGTTTGTTCTTGATTACAGACAAATGCTTTTAAAAATGTTTAGTTTGCACGAAAACAATTTGCGGTTTTTAAGTTCAGTAAAGGGAGAGGAAAGGGGTCAGGTTGAACAAAAATTTAACAGATTAGACCTGAAAACTTTGTGATTGGATATCCTTAATACCGATCGCTTAATCTGAATATCTACTGCGGACACTTTTGATTTCTGCATACTCCGCTCTTTACCTCTTTCTGGACATCTCTGTAGTAAACATCTACTCCATAACAATCACTTGAGACGTATCTATCCAGGTACAATCCTTCCGCTATCAATCTAACCAGGACTAAATTCCAGGCTCTAAATGCCACACAGGGACACAAGCATAGCTATCAAACAAGCTATATATATATATATATTGATTCCAAATGATTGGGACGATCCAACCTGGTTAAATATCAACACAGTGTTTCAGTGCTTCAATACCACACAAGGACACAAGCCTAGTTATACAACAAGCTATATGTATCGATCCTAAATGATGGGGAGGATCCGCTCTAAATGTCTCACAAGAACACAAGCCTAACTATCAAAATAGCTACATGTCGATCCCAAATGATTAGGATGATCTGCTCTAAATGTCTCACACGAACACAAGCCTATAAGCTATCAAAATAGCTATATGTTGATCCCAAATGATGGGGATCATCCGCTTTCAATGCCACACAAGGACATAAATCTAGCTTTTAAGATTCAATATATCGATCCCAAATGATGGGGGCGATTAAACCTGCTTATCAAAACAGGGTTTCAGTCTAGCTATCAACAAGCTAGATATCGATCCCAAACTAAAGGGGCTGATCGACCTGAATACAAGCTTCAGGATTTCAGGTCTACTCTCACGCAGTAAACAGTATCGAGTTACTCTGTAGAACTAACTTTATTTAATATCTCATGTCACAAAGTTTACAGGAATTGACGTAATTGCAATTCCTACGATTTTATCTATATTACATGATTATGATGATTGTATTACGTATTTATCGCACAGTTAAACTTTAATGTATGTATTTAGAGAGAATAGATATAACGCAGTTAAGCTATCTCCGCACACGTTTTATAGTGTATTTTAATTAAGTCGCATGATTTAAGCTAATCATGTTAAGTATTCATTTGAAACGCAGTTCCAATAAATAATTTGATTATGTCTAAGTTTACAACATTAAATCATTTATAATGTACAATGTACTGCAAATTTACAGATTATCATGTTTACACGATTTTTGCTATATCTCTACAGAGATGAGATTTTAAAAGCTTAAACCCGAGTAAAGCCTGGTTTTTGTGTCTGCTTAGACCCGGGTTTGGGATGGCCTCAATTGAGTTTAGTAAGAACCAACCATCTTGGGGTTTTCTTTCTTTAAGGCTTGAGTCTTCAGCTGCTGATGATCGTAAATTTTGTAAAATCTTTTATCGTACATGTAAAATCTCGGGAATTATTTGTGGTGTTAAATTTTTTTAATTATATAAAATAAACATACTATGAAAATAACGTATCTACCTAAAATTTGAATTTTCGAAATTGGTCGAATCAGAACCAATGCTGAATTGGGTTCTATCTAAGCTCTTAAAATCTCATCTCTGGATTCCGATCAATGATAGTTATCTCATTTAATGGTACGCAAAATTTTTTAATTACCCGGTTTTTGATATACTTTTCAGGATTCTGCATACACCTGATTGGTTGAAACTCTCCGAGATTCAAACTTAAGATCAAAATAATCTTAATATTAACAAAAAAAGAAAATCAAGCATTGATCTTGATATCCGTAATTCTAAATTTTTCAGAGCTGATCAAACTGAAGATATGGATATAAACCGAGACAATAAAATAAATATTTTAAAATGCATTCAACTTATACTATTTATAGAATGTTTATAGAATGTTTAAAGCATAAAACAAAAAATCCAATATATCGATATTTGAGTCTTTGACAACATTAAAAAGAAATGTCAAGTGGAAGTTTAGAAAAGATTTACAAATATAGAACTTGAGATTCTTATAAAAACAAAATAAGAACTCTTCTCTTTTGTATTTCACAGAGTAATTTGGCATTTAAGTACAAAAATAAGAAGGATTCTTTTTTAAAAAGCACATATTTAAAAATAACAAGAACTATTTTTTTTTAACGTACATATTAAAGAGTTGAACAACTTTATCAAAAATGTAATCTCATATTTCATATTTTATTCAAGTACATAGCATGAAATATTACAAATAAGCAATCACAATTAACTTTGCAGGTTGGACCCGCCTAACCAGGGTAGGTTGTTTTGAGTGGTTGGCCTTAAGTAAATGTAATCTCTTATACACATTTAGCTTGTTTTTAGTCTGCATAAATTCAGCTAATTTTGTAGCATAAAAACAGATTTTGTGGGATACTATTTATGTAACCTCCCCCCCCTCAAATTTATTCATTTAATATGTGAGATTTAGAGGGTTCACCCAATTTTGTTTGTTATTGTAAAGGGGCAATAAGGTTTGTTGGGGGGGCCTTACAACCTAGACTTAAGACCCCAAGACCGTAGATTAACTTCATTCTTCACATAAATCTAATTTTCTTAAAATACCAAGATTTGATAGTTAGAAGCAGAGAACTGTGGAATAGGAAGACGACATTGAATCAGTACATTAGTGTTTACACTGTACAATTGCTGTCTCTCATTTCATACACAACATCATCTTTCTATAATATTTTAAAAATCTAAAATCATATTTACAAAAGCTCATCAAATACAGATAAATAAAAACTAATATTATTCCTGGAACTTGAATCGGACTTCAATTTGCAGATATACTTGGATCTAAAAGTTGTCTTCCTATTCCAGAAACTTCTAGTTCTCACTGTATTCAATTGTCCAGGTGGTTTACAGATTCTCTGGAGGAAGGGATATGCTGTTATATCCGCAGGTAAGAGTCCGGATACAGGTAGAGATAAATATCGTTTTTGTGAATAAACAAAATTTATGAGAACAAACGATTTTTTTGTAAACGATGGTGTTGTTTAGAAAAAAGTTTACGAACGACTTGGATCGTACGTTCAGAGAAATGCAAAGATAATAGTTTTTAAAACGAACGATTTAAATTCGCTCTAACGAACTAAAAAAAAAATCATTTTTTACTGAACGAATAAATTTTCCGAAAGATCTAAAAAACTATCGTTTTTTTATTGAACGAACGATTTTCAAAACAAATGTTTGAAAAAACGTTCTTTTCTTTTACTGAACAAAAGATTTTATTAATTTTTTGAACAATTAATAAAACGAACGAAATGGAAGAGTGCAATGAAAAAATACCTATGGTTTCAAACAAATATGGGTTATTTAAGTCAGGCTTCCATTTTTCAACTAAATTGTAAGAACATACCGCGCGCCTTTTAACCAATGCAATCATCATGTCCCAAAGTTATTTGAAAAAAGTTTTCGTGAACGAATTAGCGCATTTTCATCTAAAAAGACGATATATATTTGTGTAAAACATTTTTTTCGGAAAAATTGAACTTTTGCTTAACCACGGTGTTTCTTTAAACCGATCTTACCTCAACCAATTGGTTATTGGAACCCATAATAACGTAAAAATCATCTAATCTTTTTAAAAGTAGTAGTAAACAACTATAATTGGGTTTAAAGAAAAAATTAAGAATAAATTGTATACAGTCTTTTCTGTATCCTGATTTAGTAAAGTTAAACCCGTCATTTTGTTGTTTATGAAGGAGAGGTTGCTCTATATCTTTTAAACCCCCCGATGGCGAGCCGAGAAAGGAAATTGCCAATTTAAAGAACTTTCCGAAATTCTATTCAAAGTAAAAATGTGGTTCACGTAGCAAATACTGTAGATAGTATACATTCAAAATTTACAAAATTTACACCCCCAAATATATATATTTCTAAGAATTAAAGAAAAATTAAATTTGATTTTTGGCATTTTTATGCATTCAGAAAGAAATTGAGTCTTAGCCACAAACTACAGTGAAACCCTTAAAAACGAATACATTGAAAGAATTCATCAAATGTCGTATTCTTCACTTTCTGATAACGGAATGTTGCAGATATTTAGTTTTGTAAATAAATGATTATATGGAACTCTTTAAAACTGTTCCCGCATATTCATGGCTATTTATTTATTATCGCAAATACGAAATACTTACGAAACATAAAAGTATAAAACTCATTGAAAAATTGTCAAGACGACATTTGATAAATTCTTTCGATGTATGTATTCGTTATTAAGGGTTTTACTTGAAACACAATATCAATCTTTCAATTCTGTTAGATCAAATGATCTAAGCTTAAAATAGTTTAGAAAATATTAATAGATTTCAGACATTTTGAGTTTGTTACAAAAGCTTGATTTGGTTGGTTTTTAAAGATTTTTAAAATTTTTATTTACAATATTTAAAGATGATGTTAACATACATTTTGTTTGTGTCCCCAGGAGAAATCATGATATCTCTGGATTCAAGATTATCATTGATAACTGGAGGAAACAGAAATTCTCTTCTTTTAAAGGTAACTTATTTTAACTCTTGAAATAAATCCATTTAAAAAAAGTGATATTCAGATATCATTTAAAACAGATCTTAAAAAAAAAAATTCAAAAAAATCCTTTTTCTCTAATTCGATGAATCTTTCACATATTTAATTATTGGCTAAAGAATCATAAAGAATCATAAAATGTATGGGTCTAATTTGATCTATATCTTTTCTAAAGATTTTATAGATTTTTTAAAAAAATTTTCTCCCTAGTTTTTGCCAAAAACTCTGATTTTTTATTAGAAATTCAGAATTTGGGGCAATTACTTCATAATTTCTGATGTTAATGCGCATTATCCACTTTTGTCGTCATTTTTATATCATTTATTATATTGTTTAATAAAGTTTAAAAGAAGAAGAATATGCTAGAATCTATAAAGTATTTTATTCCCAAACCTATTTCTAAATATAGTGTTTCTCCTTCAAGAGATGTTATTTCTCTTCAAATTGAAGGTTTGAAGTTGCTTTGTTAAATTGATTGGCATCTTCTGTACATCACTTCAAACTGTGTTTGCAAGTTTCTGTTTAAAGGGACTGTAAGTCTTATTTCACGTGACCCTCCATGCACAGATGGCAGTGCTTGATTTACAATGGTACCCTTGAAACCTTAATTTGATCAAAACTGTGGAAGATAACGTTTTTTTTCGTATTCAAAAAGTGTTTCTGTGAGTTTTTACATTGCCTTAAAAAACAAGAAATGCTCAAGTCACTTTCGCAAAGAAACCGCAAATGAAAAAAAGGTAGAAAGATACAAATCTTTAATATCTAATTCATACATTAACAGACAAAGCTTTCAATGGTACTCTTGTAAATCGGGCACCGCCATCTTTGCATGGAGGGTCACTTGAACTTACGCTTACAGTCCAATTTATACTTAAGTCGAAGGGACTTAAAGCATAACTTCAAGTGACCCTTTATACAAAGATGGTGGACTGTTTAGTTTGCAGTGATATTAGATTTAAAGAAACAAACAGCTGAAAACTTTAGAATGGGATATCCTTAATCCCGATCGGTTAGTTAATCTGGAGATTAATAACAAGAGGAGAACAAACATTATTTAATCTGGAGATTAAGAAAAAGAGCGGATCAAGCATTGATCTCGATATTCACCATCTAAAGTTTTCAGCCCTGAAAACTTTAAGATGGTGCATATCGAGATCAATGCTTGATCCTCTCTTTTTGCTAATCTCAATCGATTGAACGAACATAAGTTTTGGATTAACATTTATAAAGACTAACGTTCAAAACGTTTTTAAATAAGTTCATATTAACATGATTAAATTTATACTTATTTAAATGCTCTAAAAGCCGGCTTGTGAACAGCTAACTTTAGTTCGATCGGATAATAGTCCAATCGATAAACGTCGTATATGTACTTTTATCAAAAATATCTTTATAAAATGTAGTAGAAGGAAAGGGATATCCAACTAGAGCGGATTTAAAAGAAATATGCCAATATTGATTGTAAGTTCAAAGCCATTCCTTTATTTTTCGTTACATCAATATTTATCTCGAAAATGTTCAAAAATATAATATCAAACTCATAAGATGGATAATTCAAGAGAAATAATTTTTTATTTTATTTTCATCAAATTGAAATAGTTTCTAAGAAAACGAGAGAGTGTGGGAGGGACCGGGGGCAGAGGGGGGGGGGGTGGTAGAGGTCGAGTCAAAGCTTGATTTATTAAAGAATATAAAGGGTTTTATAGATGGTCTGTAAAGAGTAGCCTGCTCGATTTACAAACGTATCTCATAAAAGATTTCTAGACTGAATAAGATATCCATGTTTATTTCTTCAAAATTTTATTATTTTTGATTTTGGTTTCATTGAATTGACTTGCGTTTTTAAAGAATTTTGGAAATTGTTAGAATTAAACACTTTTCAAGCTAGAGCACCGAGGGTATAATTCTCAGAGCAGAGCTGAAAACTTTAGAATGGTGGATATCGAGATTAATGCTTGATCCTCTCTTTTTCTTAATATTGAGACTAACCTAATCATGTACTTGTATCCTGAAAAGTGCATAAAATTGAACCATTCAGAGTGCATATATAAGGCTGATACATTTGAAATTTTGCGCGCCATTTAAGATTATATACAGAAACTAGAGAGACTCTCTAATTTAGAAAAACCGGTTTTTGATTTTTCTCTACTATATCCAAGAAAGAACGGGTTAAGAAGATAATCAAAAGTGTGTCCATTGGATACTCAAATTAAATAATCTAGATTAAGGATATCTCATTTTAAAGTTTTCAGCTAGGATCAGAAAATGGTTTAAAGATACTGTTGTGAATCTGACATGACCAGCATATAATTTCGGATCACTTGAAATATTCACAAAGTCCTATTAGATTGATAGATTTGTACTTAAAACTGACTCCACCGATTACGCTAAACTAAGGTATTGCACGTAAAATTGGATTCTTATGTAACGTAGTTGAAAAACTTAGAATGGGATATCCTTCATCACGATCGGTTAATTAATCTAAAGATTAATAACAAGAAGAGAACAAGCATTATTTAATCTGGAGATTAAGAAAAAGAGTGGATCAAGCATTCATATCCCGATATCCAGCATTCAAAAGTTCCCAGCTCTGGTTAAATATAAGAAATAGCTCAATAACTCTAAAATAAGAGGAGATATGATTAAAAACATAATATCATATTTTTACTTTTATAGTTTCACGTGCAATGAATTTGGGTTTCTCAAACTTGCATGCGTAAAATCAAAACTACATTAGCAACGAGGCCACAAACATAGGCTAATAAATAGAAATTTTGTTCTTCTTCAAAATTCAATATTTTTGTCAAAATTCAAAATTTAGTATGTTTCCAAATTTGACTCTTTTTTAATTACACGGGCAACGCCGGGCACTTCAGCCAGTAATCTAAAAATAATTTGATATATTTTCTGTATTACAGAATGTGACAGAACAGGATGATGGAGAATATTCCTGCCAAATCACAGCACAGACTGGAGTACTTACACTTACACATTCACTTACAGTACTAGGTTAGTACATACTTACTTACTGTGCTAGGTTAGTACATCATACTCACTTACAGTACTAGGTTAGTACATACTCACTTACAGTACTAGGTTAGTACATACTCACTTACAGTACTAGGTTACTACATACTCACTTACAGTACTAGGTTAGTACATACACACTTACAGTACTAGGTTAGTACATACACACTTACAGTACTAGGTTAGTACATACACACTTACAGTACTAGGTTAGTACATACTCACTTACAGTACTAGGTTATTGCATACTCACTTACAGTACTAGGTTAGTACATACTTACTTACAGTACTAGTTTAGTACATACACACTTACAGTACTAGGTTAGTACATACCCACTTACAGTACTAGGTTAGTACATACTCACTTACAGTACTAGGTTAGTAAATACACACTTACAGTACTAGGTTAGTACATACTAATTGCTTTATACTTGTACTGTATGCAGATCTTCCATGCTAATCGGAAATATTGTGTAAATTCTTAGTGCTTATCTGAACAAGATTTTCTTATCGGAATCCTTATCGGGCTTGTGCATAAAAGACTGCTTATAAGAAAAAAATCACATTTAAGCAGGGTTTTTTGCATACTCAAATTTTCTTCAAATTTTCAGTATGCAAACGAGTATGCAAACCTGTATGCTCTTCCTTGAAGCAGCATTTTCTACATTTTTAAATCTGCATCCCGCAATTATTAGCTTGAACTACAGCTTGTAAGAATAAGATGCTAATCTTGCAGCTTATAAGAACAGATGAAGCAATAATTACTGCTTATAAGAATAGAAGCAAAT